GGATTGCTTCCTTAGCCCCAATTTGGGGGAGTCCTCCTGCACTGTTAATGAGGCCAAAGTGCTGTCTGCAGCTTATTGGCAGAGCCTGTTACCCCAAATGATATGTGTTGCCCCAAAAGTGGGCTTGTCTCCTATTTGAGTTGGGGGCAATTAGCGAAGGAGACAAAGGCTTGCGAGAGGGAAGTAACAAGCGAGATGTGTTCACGGGGATCTTTCCCTTAGAGAACTCTCAGAAATAGGCAGTCCATTGCGGTAACTGAAAGGGTTGTTTTCTTGAAAGAGGGAAATGGTGTCAAAAATACCGCACATGCAGAAGATAAATGCACACTGAAAACAAACACACAAGCGAAAATACAGGGGTGAGAAAGAATATAGAAAGGGCTCAAGGGGAGATAGCTACCTGTCCTGAAGACTAGGCATCCATGGAGCAGAGGTTGTGGAAGATGGAAGGAGCCCAGATGTATCTGGGGGCGTGATGGAGAGGGGGCGCCGAAGACACCCACCCAGCAATGGTGGCGAGGCTGTCTAAAGGTAAAGGTTCCCTTGCTCGAAAGCCAGTCAAATCTGACTCTAGGGTTGCGGTGCTCATCTCCGTTTCAAAGCCGAAGAGCCAGCGCTGTCTGAAGACATTTCCGTGGTCATGTGGCCGGCATGACTAAACACCAAGGCGCATGGGACGCTGTTACCTTCCCACCGAAGTGGTACCTATTTATCTACTTGCAATTTCTTGCTTTCAAACTGCTAGGTTGGCAGGAGCTGGAACTAGAGACGGGAGCTCACTCCATCATGCGGCACCCGGGTCTTGAACTGCTGAACTACCGACCTTCCACAGCCTGCAGTTCAGCGTCTTAACCACTTGAGCCACTGCAGCTGTCAAGTTATAGCAATAACATGAGGCTGTCTAGTTATAGCAAAAATGGGATCTGAGGGCATGCCGAAGTGACTGTCCCATGGAACAAAGCATTGATTAATTTAACTAAAAGTACAACAATGTGTTGGGGAAATTATGAATGGGGTTACCAGGAACTGACAAAGGGAACAGGAGATGTCTCGGGAGGAGTTCTTGTGGTAAAAATAAAGCTTAAGAAGAAACTCTGATAGCTTCCTCTGGTGATTTGGAGTGCTAATGGCTGTCTAGTTGAACTAATCAAAAAGCAAAAATACTGATGACCCTCCTTTTTTGTTAGACGGGAAACCGGCAGGTGTGAGTGGAGTGAATATGTTTTGTGCAGTGAATATGGGAATGGGGAAGGTGAGGCAGGGTTGATAGGATTAACAATCCAGGTAAATAGCATTAGCACTGGGTGAGGCTAGTCCATTGTTTTAGCGTATGCAAACCTGTAGAATGGGTGGAGGGGTCGCAGCATGCTCAGATTCTTACACCTTCCAGGGTCTTTTCCCAGGCATGGCATCCATTTTGTGTACAACTTGGCCAAGCTGCCTGGCATATGGACTCCTAGAGTGCTATTAACTGGAGGGGGCTGGCGTCCAGCTTACACCTCAGCAAAGGGGCATGGTCTGCCTGCTTACAAGCCTGTGCTTTGCTTACATCAGAACATAAGAAGAGCCCTGCTGGATCAGACCAGTGTTCCATCTAGTTCAGCATCCTGTCGCACTCAGTGGCCAACCAGTTCCTCTGGACGGCCAGCAACAGGGCATAGAGCCTGAGGCCTTCCCCTGATGTTGCTCCTGGCTCTGGGAATGTGGAGGTTCCCCATAGTCACCATGGCTATTAGCCATTGGTAGACTTATCCTCCATGAATCTATCTAATCCCCTTTTAAAGTTGTTTATTCCTGTGGCCATCACTACATCCTCTGCCAGTGAGCTGCACATTTTAATCTCTCTCTGTGTAAAGTAGTACTTCCTTTTGTTCATCCTGAACCTACTGCCCATCGGTTTCATTGGATGTGTGTCAAAGGTCCCAAGTTTGGTCCTTTGTATTTCCTCTTAAAGAATGTGAGGTAGCAGGCCCAGAAGGGGGATCTTGGAGGGATGCTGATAATCTGAGTTGGCTGTATTCTGGACTCGGTTCCCACACTATGTATCCACTCCACTCCCCTCACCCCACCCCCACAGGTGTTTTTCATTGGTGGAAGCTGAATCAGCAGGTCAGGAGACGGGTCCTCCTCCTAACAAAGCACAATTTTCTGTCTTTCTTTCCTGCCACAGTGAACCACCAACATAAGCAGTCATCCCATGCCATTTTGGCTCAGTATAATTTGCTGCTGGTGTGATCCCTCAGTGCTGAGTACGCCCCTGTCATGTTCATATCTTTATTTAAAATAGTTATACTTTGTCTTTCCTCACAAACAACAAACACGGGGCAGCTTGCAACAATAGAGCCCGAGAGTATGACGCAGTAAGACAAAATTCAAACCAAAATGAACTCCCCAAACCCCAGTGAAATTAATACACCCAGTAACTCAAGTTCCCCCAAACCCAAATATCAATAGAAAGCGCTACAAAACGCTGCCTTGCTCCTCTTCCTGAGAATCTGCAAGGGGGACCCTCCCTACCTCCTCCAGGAGTCTGTGTGTGTTTGGCCCAGTCACACACTCTCGGCCTAGCCCACCTCACAGGGTCGTTGTGAGGATAAAACAGAGGAGAGGAGAACAGTGTAAGTTGCTTTGGGTCTTCATGGGGGGGGGGAGAGAAGGCCAGGTATAAATGAAGCAAATAAAACATTAGCGCCACGTGGCCTTACAAAGCCGCCTCACACAACGTTATACCATTGGCCCCACCTATCTTAACACCGGCTATTCCTGCAGGCAATGCCTCTCTGAGCCGAAAAGGCCTTTCCCAGCACTTCTGCCTGATATCTTTTCAATTGCAGGTGCCGGGGTTTGAAGGGGGGGGGGACCTTCTGCATATTGAGCCCAAGCCCTGATGCTGATTTCACGTGTTAGAAATGACAATGTGCGATTGAAACGTTAAGGGGGGGGGGCTTCCTTGAGTGGCAATGTGGAGTCAGAAAACCGAGATCATTAGAAGGGTTAATTCCTCCCTCTCTCCTGCTTCCGTCTTGTCTGTCCTTCCCTTTTGAATCTGGATTCCCTAAAGGGGAGAGGCAGCAAAGTCCTGGAGACGCCGGCTGCTTTTCCTTCCCCATGGAGCTCTCCAAGGTGCTGCCGAGGATACTTTTGCATCCTCTAGTCTGAAAGGGCAGGGCCCAGAACTACATTGTTTGTAATGAAGAGGAAGAAGAAGAGAAGAGCTTGGATTTATACCCTGCCCTTCACTTGGAGTCTCAGAGCGGCTTACAAACTCCTTTCCCTTCCCCTCCCCACAACAGACACCCTGTGAGGTGGGTGGGGCTGAGAGAACTCTTTCAAGAACTTGCCCTTTCAATTACAGCTCTTGTTAGAACTGTGGCTTGCCCAAGGTCATCCAGCAGCTGCATGTGGAGGAGTGGGGAATCAAACCCCGTTCTCCCAGGTTAGAATCCGCACACTTAACCACGACACCAAACGGAACCTTATCCAACCTCTCAACCCCCACCTTTTTTTGGTACTGTGATCACACCAGAGTATCTGTGGATGCATACGGAAATCTCTCAGCATGTGGGGAGGGAAGCATCGGGATTCACCTGGAGCATAGTGGAAATCTAAGGTCCATGTATGGTAGCTCTTATACGGGGCAGGGGGAGGGAGATATCCGTGGATGTGAGAGGCTTTTCTGAAGAAATCTCCTGTGTACCTGGAAGATAATAAATCTGGGGCTGTAATATGGATAGGATATCCTCCTGCACTGGGTTCAAATAAGGAAGTTCTTCTCAAAGGGAAAGCAAATGATGCAAAGCCATGTTTAAGCTAATATGCAGATTTCATGCTGAGTTTGCTCACTGGTTTTGGGACCCAAGTGAGAGGGTTACTTGCTAAATGTTCTTGCATCATAGGAATCCCTTCATCTTTGGCTTGTTCTCCCTCCCCCAGTGTTCCATATCTGTACCATTTTGCTGTTCCCCTGGGCCCCACCAGTGGTGTCTCTCTGGGATGACAGAATGGATTGTACCACTTCGGACTGCAGGTGGAGGATGACACTCCGGGAGATACCCCCATTTCTCAAGCACTCTGCAGGCAGAAAACTAGCACTGCAAGCAGAGTGTGGGGTAGATTCCTTCTCCTTGCTGTGCTAGGTGTTTTTTTTTAATTGTACTTTTTTTTTGTAATGTGAAGGATTGTTTGCAGCTGGTGTCACCATCTACTGGTTGCATGTGTGGAAATAGAATTGTAGGCCAGATTGGTTAGCTGACCTAGTATGGGCAATGGTTTCTAGTTCCCTCTATTTTATTCTTGCCCTAGAGATAGTGGAAGACTCCCCCCCCCAATTGCTGGTGGAAGATTATCTCAACACCCACGCTGAGGATTTTCATTTTTAAAAAAGTCTCTCCTATTGAACATGCTCCCTCTCGCTGTGTTCATTGTCAAACTTGAGTGCACTTTGCTGAACTTTAGAAAAAAGTTATGATGTGAACAAACTGGACAATATTTTAAACTTTGGCAAGCACTAACACATGCTTAGACGTTTATTTCTTTTAATTTAGCATCTTTTTGTGCTGAATTTTGGGCAACAGACTTGCAAAAAAAAGAGAGAGAGAGAGGTTTGCATACTGGAGGAAATGGGCTCCCTTTGAAGCAGAAGCGCTTCTTCAGGGGGAGAAGTAGCCGATGAATAAGGAAAGTGCCCATTTGCTATGGTGTGGATAGATCTGGAAAAGATCTTTAAACCCAGCCCTGACAGAGGAACAGCATTTGGGGTTATGGAGGATCCACCAAGCCGGCATTATTTAATGGATGTTGCGCTGTGCTAGAGGATATGTCTGGCCAGACTTTGAGCAATTGTTACTTTTCTAGGGGCCTGATTGAGTAGAAGTGGGCAGGTCTGTATTTTAAAGTGTTGCAGGTATATGGAATCTTGAGTCTGCGGCACATCAGGCTTTATTTCCGTTCCCTTCTCTCTCCAACATGCATGCACGTGCACACAAGTCCCCAGAGGCAGTATGTTTGCAGTCTTGGTGGAAGACTTTAAAGAGCATATCGTATGGAATGCAGTTCTAGAAATGAACTAATTACAGATCTGGGGAAGGCGAAGGGGTAGAACAGGAGAAGCCCAGTGCTCTGAGTCGGTGGTCTCCACTGATGGTCGGCTGCCCTGCCCTGACTGCTCCCGTCCCCTCTTGTCTGTTCACAGAGCAAGCTGGTCAAGTATTTCAGCCGCCAGCTCTCCTGCAAGAGGAAAGTGGCCCTGCAGGAGCGCAATGCCAAGCTGGAGGGCTTCCCGCAGCTCCTGCACTGGTTCCGCATCGTCAACATCCGCAAGGAAGTCATGGAGGTGAGTGGTGTCCGGGGTCCAGCTTTTGCTTCCTTTCCTGTGCCCTCTTCCATCTTCTCACTCTGTGGCTGCGGTCACACACACTCAGCAATCCACTTTCAGTACACTTTCCAACTGGACTTTGCCCGTTCACACCGTAAAATCCAGTTGGAAAGTGGATTATTTCGTGTGTGCGACCGCAGCCTGTGCCTGCACCCTTGCCCACACAAGCACCCCTCACCCTCTTCTGGCTGGATTTATATTTATATTGGACGATGTTGTTGACCCCAGCTCATCCCCCAAGCCTGGGTCGGATGGGACCCCCAAAGAGCCCACTGCCGACCCCAACACTTGGTGGAAACCAGGGGGCTCACACCCCAAGTGCCTCCTCCTTCCTGCACAGTGGTGATACCCTGATCTTGGACTCTGCTGA